TCCCTCCCACCTCTCCTCTCCCAGAGATAACTTGAAGGAACAGTCTTTCCTTAAAGCATCCCTTGCTTTCCACTAATCAGACCTGAGTAACCAGAGTGTATGGTTGTCCAAGGCTCTTGCTTGAGTTGTCTGTGAGAGTTGTCTGGCACAAGGCCCCCTGTACATTCACTGTGAGACTGTCTCTTTTCTGGTTTGTCCCCATATCTGAAACTTAGCTGGAAACCTGCCTTCTTGGAAGGTTTGAGGGGGATGAGATTTCCAGCACAACAGCCATCCTCAATTTTTGTGGAACTGGCCTCCCTTTGGTGGCTTCCTTCCAGGCATGGAGATGCTAGAACTGAGGCATCTGAAGGATCCAAGTCTGTAGGGCTATAGACTTACCTGTTTTTCTACTTGAAGTCCTGAGAAGAGTCATGAGTGGTTCCAATTTCTCCCATCTCCCCAGGCTGAATGTCCCCTCTGGGAGGTGTGAGTCAGGATATATAGTGAAAGAGCATGGATTTTGGAGTCAAGAAGACCTGGGTTCAGATTCTAACTCCACAGGTTCCTAACAACATCTCCTAACAGACTCTGAGCCTTCCCTTGGACTCTGGGTTCTGTCCCCCCTCATTTAGGGGTGGTTTTCTGTCTGCAGAGGTTTTTATTTCCAGGTGCAAATCCTTCATCCTGGTCTTGAAACAATCTCAGTGTAACCCTCCTTATGATATGTGTCTCTACAATTACAAGCAATGACTGGGATCTTGGTTCCTCTACCAACGATTGAACTCAGGCAGTGAAACCAGTGGAAGCACCGAGTCCTAACCACTGAACCACCAGGGAATTCCCCCATAAGCACTTTTGAGCGTTCTTTTCTTAATGCTCAAAATAACAGTGTGGATTATGATTCTGATACCAACTATAATGTGCATTTTTCCCCTGCACCACCAAGCAATGCCCTCATACCAACTGGGTGTCCTTTAATCAACCCAGTTCAGATATTATCTACCTGGAGATAGTGTCAAATCCCACAGATTAAGAGCTCAATCCCACAAGACTGTCCCCTCAAGCCCCACCCCTGTCCAAACCCAATTTATCACTTGTGCTTCTAACCAGCTAGTTATAAACTGGAGATTTCCCTACCCCTGACTTGGGTTCTATTAATTTGCTAGAGCAGTTTTTAAAACTCAGAGCAACATTTTACTTACTAGATATTGGTTTATTATAAAGGGATATGACTCAGGAACAGCCAATGGGTGAGATGCATAGCACAAAATACATGAGAAGGGGCACAGAGCTTCTATGTCCTCTGCCAATGAGACACTCTCCCCAAATCTCCCTGTGTTCACCAACCTGTCAGTCCCTGTCCTTTTGAGATATTATGGAAGCTTCTTACATAGGCACAGTTGATTAAATCGTTGGTCTTTAGTGATTGATCTCAATCTCTAGACGCTTTTATTTCCTCGGGCATCAGGGAGTGGGTCTGAATTTTGTGCATGCATGCACAGTAACCAAGTCATGTTCAACTCTGCAACCCCATGGACTGTAGCCTGCCAGGCTCCTCTGTCCATGGGGTTTCCCAGGCAAGAATACTGGATTGGGTTGCCATTTCCTCCTCCAGGGGATCTTCTCAACCCAGGCATCAGACTTCATCTCCTGTATTGACTCAGCCTCTAATTACTTTGTTGATTTCTGTTGGTTTCTCTGACAAACCAGCTTCCATCCTTAGGTGACCTAGGGATTTTCCAAAAGTCACTACATTAACATTATAAAAGACACCTTATTGGCTCTCAACACTTAAGAAATTCCAAGGAGCTCTGTGCCAGGAACAGGACAAAGATTGACTAGATATATACATTAATATATATTTCTTATAAATCACAATATCGCAGAAGTTAATGTAATTCTTCCCACTTTACAGGTGAGACTGAGACTCATTGAGATAAGTTGCACAAAATCACACAACTTTTAAAAGGCAAGACCACTGGTACCCAGATCTTCAAGGTTTGAAGGAAGGCAAAACAGCATAATGGAAGAAAACAAAGCTTTAGAGGCAGAAACCTGAGCTCAGTTCCTGTCTCCCTTCTAGCTGCAGGGCCTCATGTAACTCCCTTAAGCTTTCTCAGCTTCACTTTCCTCTTCTGTCAAATGAAGAGAAATGATCTGGAGAAGAGTTTGGAGAACGAGATGAATTGGTATATATAAACTCCTGTCACACAGAATCAAGAAGCATTGGATTTCACCCCTACCCCCTCCATTACTCCACCTTCTAGGCCCCGGCTCAGTCATCTTCCCATGACATCATGCTGTTCCCTGCCCAGGATGGGAAATCAGGCAGGAACATAAATAACTATGCTAGAAGAGAGAAAGCCGTAAGTACTCTATGAGCGGACAAGCTTTGTGAGGATGACCAAGCAGGACTTCACGCAGACAGTGATATTAAAATATGGACCTGAGATGTTTTGTCAGATTTCCAGAGATGGAAAATAGATGCTGCTGCTGCTGCTACTAAGTCGCTTCAGTCATGTCTGATTCTGTGCGACCCCATAGATGGCAGCCCACCAGGCTCCCCATCCCTGGGATTCTCCAGGCAAGAACACTGGAGTGAGTTGCCATTTCCTTCTCCAATGCATGAAAGTGAAAAGTGAAAGTGAAGTCACTCAGTTGTGTCCGACTCTTTGCAACCCCATGGACTGCAGCCCATCAGGCACATGGGATTCTCCATGGGATTCTCCAGGCAAGAGTACTGGAGTGGGTGGGAAATAGATGGGAGGACCCCAAATTCCACATCGGGTAAGTAGATAGGGCACAGGGTGACGGATGTTTAAATATTCTGTAGAAAAAAGGACTGTGCAGTGTGGGAAATGGCATTATTCAGGCTGTACCTATGTGCTAGGTTCTAGGCTAGCCCTGGACCACCATACTTGAGCTCATATTCCAGGCTGAGAGGCTTGGAGTATGAGCTTTCCATGAGCTCATGAGCTATGAGTATTAGCCCTCCCTTGCTGAGCTCCCCACCACCATCTGATGGACATTAGGAGCCCGGGCCCAAGCTGGAGGGACTGACAGTGGGGGAGCCTCTTCAAGGCTGTGTCTCCTTCAGAAAGGATGGTGGGAATGAGGATCAGGGAGTGCTGTGAAGGCTGTGGGCAAACCTACTCCCACCCCCTGGAAAAGCTGGCATGAGCGAGCAAGGCCCAATATCTTGCTTTCCACAACTCCGACCAGCTGGGATTCTATTTTTAACCAGTACTGTCTTAGTTGACAGTTTGGAACGCCTTCTCCCTCCTTTTCTTCCTTCCTCCTGCCTCTTGCAGCCGAGAGCCCTGCAGAAAGGATGGATAGGAGCAGCTCAGAACTGGTAAACAGACCACTTTCCTTTCTCACTGCCCTTCACTCCATCCAGTGTTTGTTCAACGTCCTTAGTGGGTGGATTTTAGAGGTATTATTGGCTGTGAAGCTAATGGAGCTTACATCTCAGGGCTCCTCACATGCAGTGATCTCTTCCAAGGCCCTGGTCAGTGTCCTAGCAACTTTGTAGCTGAAATTTTGTATTTTTTTTTTCCTTAAAAAAGGGACACCCAATTTTATAAGCTCCAGGCCTGCAAAATTTGGGTCTGACACCAGAGGGTGTGGGTTCTCTTTCACCTGCAGCTCAGTGTCTACTTCAATAAGATTATTCCTGTCTTGCTTTAATTTCTTGTATGACCTTGAGCAGCTTTCTTTCTTGTGCTGGGTCTCAGTTTCCCCACTTGTTACAAGATGAAGTGTCAAGGAGGCCTCTCTTCGGATACCACACCTCTGTCTATTTCTGTATGTTCCCTAGGTGAGATCACCTATTCTTCCTGGTTTGTCACTGTATGTGTGGAGGGGTGATTTTCTGTCTCTGCCTCTCTCTGGGGCTGGATCAGTCTTATAGTCAAGAGGGAGACTGATTTCTGGGACTTTTATTCAGGTTCAGCCCCCCACCTCCTTTCCCACTGTACCTCCCCTTGTTGCAGGCCAGTAAAAGGTGCCCACAGGTAACAGTGCATTAAAAGGCCCAACCCTTTAATTCTGTATATCTGTTATGTTCTGACCCCATATTATTACAAATACACAGTGAATAAACTGAGTCTTAACATACAGTGCTTCCTTTTTTCATTAAAATTTTAATAAGCATCTATTAATACAGTACCCTAACAAGGGGACCACTTTAGGACAGTGTGCTTAGGAATGATGATGTGTCATGGGTACCCCACCCTATCCTCATTCCCAGCTTCATGACTGTTGTGTGAGGTGAGTCCAGGTTGACCACTCGGAGAGAATTCACACAGCCTCATCTAGACTCAGACCATGCGCTTTTTGGCAGGGGGTCATGCACAGGAGTGAGCGGCAGGGGGAGGGACCTGACAGAGAAGACTCCCAAATCCCGTGCCCCCTCACGTGCCCCAGAAAAGTCCAAAAAGGAAATTGAGGGGGAAACCAAGTCATTTATTATTTCTTGAAAAAGTCTGGTGAGGGATGAGGGGCAGGCCAATAGTATTTAACTGGAAAAGAATGAAGGGACTTCTTAGTGCAAAACAGCTTGTTGGTCTGGGAAGTGTGAGATTAGGCAGGTTGGTGTTTGCAACTGATTGGGGAAGGGCACTGTGAGGTCAAATGAGGGGCAGAGTGGAGCATCTCAGGAGTTATTCCTGAGTCAGGCTCCAGAGCCCTGAAAGACTCAATGCCACTGCTATACGTGTGAGAGGCAGGTCAGCCCCCGTCGGTCTCCACAGTGTGGAGACAGTCCACGGCTAGGGACGTGGGTCTGTCCAAGGTCAGTGCCAAGTCTGTGTGCCGGGCTCAGTCCCTCACTGAGTGCCTCCTTTCCTGTGTGAGGGTCTGGGTTGTTTCCTTCGAGTCAGGTAAGCCACCCTTTCCTGGCCATCGGTGTTAGTCAGTCTCTCGTGTCAGCTGGTCTGCGTCTCTTGTGTGTTTGGACGGGGCTGAGCGGGTCGGAATCCGTCTGTCCTGCCTCAGCCCCGCTCCCGCTCCACCCCTCAGCCAGGCCCCAGGGTGCTGATGGTGGTATAGCTCAGCCTGGACAGTGAGGCGATGGAAGGGGTGGGAGGGTCCTCGTCCGGCAGAGGTCTGGGGCGAGCCCGCGGAGGCCGGGGACAGCAGCGGGTGCAGGTGTCGAGGCAGGCCTGGCGAAAGCGACGGTGCATGAAGCAGTAGACCAGAGGGTTGACACAGGCAGAGGCGTAGCTTAGCAAGTGGATGAAGGAGATGGGCGCACCCGAAAGTGCGCGATGTGCGCCGGGCCCGTCAAAGGCGCGCCACGTGTTGGCGCTGTACACGGGCAACCAACACAGGAAAAAAAGCACAACGATCACCAGTAACATCCGCACCACGCGCTTCTTAGCCAGCAGCTTGGCCTGGGCAGGCCGGGTGCCGGATCCTGGGCCGGGCGTGGGCGCGGTCAGCGCAGACATCTCCAACGCAGGCCGGGAGCGCGGAAGCTGCACATAACAGCCGTCGCCGTCCTCACCCGCCAGCCGGGTCTCAGACCCGCAACGTCCGTTCGCTTGGGCAGGACCTGAGCACAGACCAGGCGCGGTCAGATTTGGAGGCTGAATCCTCTAAATCGCACACCTTTCCGCCCCACCCACTTTATGTCCCGCCCCTTCCCAAAGTCCCGCCCCCTCCTGGATTTCACCCACCTTGTCCTGTGCCACCCGGCAGCCCTCCCTGACTTCCGACCCGGCTGTGGCTCTCGCTGTCACTGTCACCGTCAAAGCGAAGCCCTAAGTAGAGCTCACGGGAGATAAGCCCGTAGGCCACCGCCATAACCACCCCAGGCACGAAAAACAAGAGCAGGAGCAGCAGTACCGACCTGGAGACAGAGCGCAGACCAATCAGCGGGTCCCTGTCCAGCTATAATCACTGATGGAGGAAGACTGAAGAACTGATGTTTCTAGGGCTGGTGACCGCGTCCCAGAGGTAGAGGTAGGATTGGGGGTACAGCTGGGAAGGGCTAGAGAACTGGGGAGGAGCCCTGAATGGGGATCCCAGGGTGGTGGGTCGTGGTACTTGTTGGAGCAAGATTCTGGGTAATGCTTGTGAGTGATGGAGATAAGAGAAGGGAATTCTCAGTAATGGCTAATAGGCACCCTCACCAGGTTTGGCGAACCCGCGCACTGGGCCACCGGTGCATGCATTGCAAGACACGAGGCCCCGCTGGCTGCACGGCCGTGTACACTGGGTAGGGCACCATGAGCAGTCCGGACAGCATCCACGTGGCTATGATCACTCGAGCCGCGTGGGAGCGCGTCTGCCACACGCGCGCCTGCAGTGGTCGGCAGATGGCGCTGTATCGCTCCAGGGCGATGGCCACGAGGCTTAGCGTGGACACGCTCACAGACACCCCTAGGAAGGAAGAGGAAAGGGTTACCTAGGAAACTTGCGCTACACACTCCCCAGAGTGACTTCCACACTCCAGACGAAGACAGACCCCCTACATTCGGCAAGGACTTTAGGAGAGGAGAGGGCCAAGGCATGCAGGGCGATTGTTTACCTACCCATGAAGTAGGAAACCGCCTTGCAGACGACTGTGCCGAAGATAAATGTGCCCATGAGATTGGGCAGGAGGGTGAAGGGCATGCAAGCCACAGCCAGCAGGAGGTCGCTGACTGCCAGTGAGAGCAGGAAGGCATTGGTGACGGTCCTCAGACGGCGGCTCAGCCCCAGGACTACGATGATGAGCACGTTTCCTCCAACACTCATCAGAAAGATCACAGCGTAGAGGGTGACCCTAATGGCCAGCTCCAATTCTGGGTAGGAAAGAGGTGAGGTGGCAGTAGGGGGTCTGGCCCCCACTCAGCTGGGCTGTCCAGTCTCACTTATTCCCAACTCTTCAAGCCCTACTACCCAGTCAGATCCTCTGCTTCCCAAATCCTCCCCCCTCCCCCACTGGCCCAGGACCCACTCAGTAAATGGTGAACTTGAATCTGTTACCCTTTTAACCTCTAGAAGCCTGGTTAAAGTGGCCTAACTCTACCCTTCCTTAAGAAACCCTGTCTGTTCTCAAGCTTTGCTCCAAATCCTTCTCTTTGCAGCCAAACTTCTTGAAGAGATTATTTGCATCTTTTCATCCACTCCTCAATCTATTACAATCCAGTGACCTCTTCCCCATTACTGTTCGTAAGTGTTCATTGCAATTCTTCTCATGGTTACTAAGCTTTAACTACCAAATCCAAAGGTCCCTTCTCAGCCTATTTTACTTGATGACCTCCTGGTAGCATTCAACCCTGTTGACCGCTATCTTTTGAGACACAGGTCTGATAGTGTCTTTATTGTCTTAAAAAACAAGAATTATCACTAAAAAAACAAGCAAAAAGACCCTTTACCTACTCTCAACTGTCTTCAGCTTGTCATCAAGATTCTCCCAGAACTGGCCTTTTCCTCTCTCATCCCTGCAATGCACTCATTTAAGCCACCAGATGACTCAGTTTCTGGGAGGCATCAGGTGCACTCATGACTCTTCTTTGCTCTTGCTCACGTTGGTTTCTCAGCCTAAAATGCTCTTTCACCACACCCCCATCACTATTAATTAATACCCTCCTCCCCCCAATTAATGACTCTCAATAACAAACTTGTTTTCTGTTATCTGGTGAACCCCTACTTACCATTGTCTTTCAAGATTCGGACTGACTGCTCCCTCCTCTATAAGGCCTCTCTGGGCACCTTATTTGGAGCTAATCTCCCCTTCCTCTGACCCATGCATGTTCCCTACACATCTGTTAGAATGGCCTTTACTTTCTGCCTTGTATTTTAATTATATATAAACATTCACTCTCACTCCACAAGCATTTGCAGAGGATTATCTTTATACTAGGCACTGGGGACAAAGAGATGAACATGACAAATGCCCCGAGAGCTCTCATCTGAGCGTTCACATTCTAGAAGTCTAGGGGGAAACTCAGACATATAAATAGATATCTGTCACACAGTGTGATAAGAAGTGAGGTTGAAGAATAACAGAATGCTCTGGGAGCTCACAGGAAGGACACATAGCGCTGCAGGGCTAGACAAGGGCTGACCCCGGTCACTTGTGTCATTGCCTGTTGGGGGGAAGGATTCATCACTGGGCTGCCATATCACAACCAAGACAAAACTGAATTGAATTAAACTGGACCCAGTCACCCGTGCCCATGGCCTCAGTGTGAGGGAGACTGGAGGCTGGAAGGAGAGAGGGCAGGGACAGAGCCTACCAGGTTGAGGGGAGGGAAGGGCCCAGAGCTGTATCACTCTTCATAGCCTCATACATTGGCTGACTTTTGCCTTAACTCCCAAATTAAACTGTATTTCCCCCCCATATCAATAGTTATATACTTATCCAGAAGTTGTTGTAGACTTCAAGGAAGTGCTATATACAATAAACCTCCTAACTGAAATGCCTCCAATGCAGGAGATGCAGGAGATGTGGGTTCGATTCCTGGGTTGGGAAGATCCCCTGGAGAAGGAAATGGCAACCCACTCCAGTATTCTTGAATGAAAAATCCCATGGTCAAAGGAACTTGGCAGGCTATAGTCCATGGGATCACAAAAAGTCAGACACAACTGAGCGACTAAGCAGTATAGTACCCTCACTGAATCCAGCCATGACATTACTTTCTCAGATCACACAGCAAGTAAGGAGCCGGATCAGAACAGAATCCTGTCTCTACATTTCCAAAATGCTTTGTCTCCTGCTACCCCCTCACTCCTCTGTCATTCATCATGCTGCCACTACCATACTCTACCCTGGCATTTCTTACCGTATTATTATGTTCATGTTCTGTCTCTGCCACTAGCCTATGAGCTCTTGAGGGAAGGGGCAATGTCCATCCTGTTCTTCAGCATGTCCCTAGCATTTGGCATAATGCTCCCTGCACAGAAAGTATTAACACCTGCTTGCTAATGAATCTTAAAGGGATCTCTGTTACTGTCCACATAAATGCATCTGCTGTTTCTCCATGTCCATCCTTCATCTCTGTGCTTCTAAAGCTCCAGCATGTGCTCTTCTTGCTGCTTCGCTGCCTCCGTTTCTTTGGAGACCCATGTTGGAGATTCTTTTGGGTGGTACAGGGGTAGGGGTCAATAACAGGCTGTGATTTGGGAGGTGTTACTTTTACTATTATAGACAAACCATCTATGCCTCATTTAGAAGCTGGGCTCCCTCTCAGCAGGGAAGGCTTATGGAAGGTTTGCTTATGTGTGACAATTTGAGATGTGTGTGTGTATGTGTGTATAGGGGGAAATAAAGAACTTTGGGGGGGGGATCTCTGTCAGAGAGGTCCTTGGACCCAAGAAAATAGAACAGGTGGTCTGTCTTGCATTTTTTGTGTCTCCTTTCAGTCCACTGCCCCTCTATGCCCCTCTCCTCTCCTCTCCTCCCATCCCTTATCTCTCTTGTTCTATTATCTCTCTCACATCCTCCTTTGTCCCCTGGATGTTTCTCTTCAACTAGATTTTTGTTGTTGTTGTTTTGGCTGCACTGTGGAGCCCTGGCAGTAACAGCGCCGAGTCCTAACCATTGGACCACCAGGAGTTCCCTTTCTGCTACTTCTTGATTCAATACCCACACCTAAAACTTGGATGGCACTCTGAATTGTGAAAAGCACATTTCTCATTCATTCACCTGGGGTACAGCCATCACTGCCTTGACAGTCTACCTGTGGGTGTCATTCTGCTGGGGATGAGTGTGTGCTAAATCGCTCAGTCATGTCGGATTCTTTGTGACCCGATGGACTGTAGCCTGCCAGGCTCCTCTGTCCATGGGATTCTCCAGGCAAGAATACTGGAGTGGGTTGCCATGCCCTCATCCAGAGGATCTTCCTGACCCAGGGATTGAACCCGAGTCTCTTACATCTTCTACATTGGCAGGTGGGTTCTTTTACCACTGTGCCATGCGAGCAGACCAGAAATCAGACCAGGGGACTCAGGAGACTGGAACAGTTCAGTTCTGCTTCTGGTGTCTAGAGCATCTGCATTTGTTCTGTGGGCAGACAAGTGTGGGTACAGAAATCCAGATGATGTCACATAAAACAAGAACGGGCTTTTCTAAGAAATGATTCTACAGAACAGTGAAGCTGCTGATGCCTCACATCCTGCCGCTCACTGGTGTGTTGGATCTGGTTACCCATCACACAGACATCAAAGTGGTACCCATGCCTCGGTGATGAGCATGGATAGCATCTAACTGATTGTGAACGGGAGCAGAGTGAGCCTTGGGAGTACTTGAGTCTTAGAGATGATATCTGGGTGGGTGAGGTTAACATATATTTCTGTGGGCATTATCTAGAGAAAGGTAACAGCTATGTGTCTATAGGTAATATCTGATTGAGTGTGGGTTACTTTTTAGCTTAGGTAACATCTGAGTAACTGTTATAACATTTGAATGAGCCAGAGTCTACAGATAACATCTCGTTTTGTAGGTAACATCTACAGGAAGCATGGTTTACATTCAGAGGTCTGTATGTGAATGAGGGAAATATCCAGCTGATGGTGGTCCTAGATGACTGACCAGAAGTAATATGAAAGTGTATGTGGGCAATATTTAAGTGAGTGTAAATATGAGATGTTAACAGATTAGGATGTTAACCTGGTTGAGTAAAATAACTGAGCGTCTGAGTGACCACAGGTAGTATTTGAGTCTTTGCAGGTATTCTCTGAATATGTAACAGTTATATCTATGACTTTATAGGTAATACCTGGAGATGGGTTCCTTAAGTAAGCATGAGTAATACTTGATTATATGTGGATAATAAAAAAAATGAAAGCATGTGTGTTTGATGGGTGAGTAATAGCGAAATGACAGTGGGCAATATTAAAGTGTGGGTGGCATCTGTTTTTCTGTGGGTAGCTTCTTTATTTCCCATTTTTTAATTTTTAAAATTGGAGTATAATTGCTTTACAACTTTGTGTTGGTTTCTGCTGCACAACAACATGAATTAGCTGTAGTACGTGCTCTACCCCCAGCCCTCCTCATCCCACCCCTCGAGGTCATCAGAGCACTGAGCTGAGCTTTCTGTGCCATAGGCAGCCTCCCACGAGCTATCTGTTTTACAAACGGTAATGCACATACATCAATGCTATCCTCGCGGTTTGTCCCACCCTCTCCTTCCCCTTCTGTGTCCACAAGCCCATCCTGTGTGTAGTTTCTGAGTGAACATGGGAAACATTTAAGTGTATGCAGATTATCTCAGAATAACGTGGGTGACAGCCACATTTCTGCTGGGATCACTGGGTGAGCCTGGGTGAGATGCATCTTGGGGGTAATAGCTGAGTGAGTGTGGCTGACAGTCACTGCCGGGTGTCACATCCAGGTGTGTGTGGGCAGCAGCATCTAGATGACTTGGGATCTGAATCACTGCACATTCTGCTTGCTCAAGGTCCCTTACTTTATCAACTAGCCTCTCTGTCTTCTGCACTTCAACCTTCCTCTCTCTTGGCCCATTCCCCATCAACATTTAAAAAATGGTTTTGTCTCTGCAACACATACACATTCAAAAGACAAACTATATGTGCACAAGCATGTACACACACACACATACACACACACACACTTCCCCAACCTCATGCTATTTCTAGAACTATCCTGTTTTTTCTTTGTCTCTCTCTCTCTCTTCAAAACATATGGAAGTTTTTATCTGCATGCCTTAGTTCACGTCTCATAACCCCTGCTCCATGGCCCAAACTTCAATTGACCATAGTCAGTAATAACACCCTAATCCTAACTCCACAGCTCCTCCTAAGATGTCCTTTCCATTGAATCCGAAGGATGCTATTCTGACCTTATCTGACTTAAATGGGCAGCATGTGATACCCTGTTTGAAATTTTCTTTTTTCTTTCTTCCTTGCTCTCTTGTCTCTAATGGTTTCGCCAAGATCTCCTTCATGGACTCCTCTTCTTCTGCCTGGCTTTTAAAAATTGGTCTTCCTCAAGATCCTATCCCAGGACCTCTTTTTTTTTTTTTAAATCTGACACAATCTTTGTATGATTTAATCTAGTCTCATGGCTTTCATTACCTCCTCTAGACAAACAAAACCTTTCAAGTCTGCATTTCCAGCTTGTACCTCCCAGATCCTTGGATTCAACAGCTTACTGGGCAACTCCACCTGGATATTTCACTGGCATTTAAACTCAGTGGGTTCCAAATTGAATGGATAATCTCCTCCTTTAAAGCTGTTTCTGCTTCCTTGTTATCCTCAATATACAGCTCAACAACCATCCAGTTGTCTAAGCCAGAAACCTGGATGTTGTCCCTTGACCTCTTCTTCCCTCTCCATTTCTAATAAATCATCAAGTTCTGTGGATTTCACTTCCTGAAATGAAGTCGCTCAGTTGTGTCCGACTCTTTGCAACCCCATGGACTGTAGCCTACAGGCTCCTCCATCTATGGGATTTTCCAGGCAAGAATACTGGAGTGGGTTGCCATTTCCTTCTCCAGCAGATCTTCCCAACCCAGGGAGTGAACCCGGGTCTCTTACGTTGTAGGCAGATGGTTTACCATCTGAGCCACTAGGGAAGTGAAGTGCCTCTCCAAGCCATCCAGTTCTCTCCATCTCCACTGCCAATAGCTTAGCCTAAGCCAGTATCATCTTTCACCAGGGCCAATGTTACATAATAGCCTTCGAAGGGATGCCCCTCTCCCCATCTCTTGTCCTCCGATCCATCCTCTTTACTACAGAACTAATCCTGGCAGCACGACTGCACCTTTTGGTAGTTTCAATTGACCTCAGGATAAAATCCACACTCCTTAGACAGTTCCATATATTTCTCTGGGATCTCTCTAGGCTGGTCTTCATCCTGAGTGTTGATCATTCTTCTCTTATGGTACATGTTCCAGGCACTCAGAAACTGTGATACACTGAACCAAAGTGCTGTGGATTTAAACTCTGGGTGTTTATACATACTGTTCCTCTGCTTGAGATGCTTTTTGCCTTTTCTGCCCCTTCATTTGGCTGACTTTCCCTCAGCTTTTTTCTTTTTAAATTTTTTATTGGAGGAGAATCGCTTTATAATATTGTGCTGGTTTCCGCCATACATCAACATGAATCAGCCACATGTATATGATATGTCCCCTCCTTCTTGAACTTCCCTCCCATCTCCAACCCCTCCCACTCCTCTAGGTTGTCACAGAGTACTTCCTTCAGCGTTTTACTTTTTATTTCAATTTACCCTTTACCTCCTCAGGAGGCCAAATTTGATTCCCAAAGCTAAGCTAGGCTAGAGGCGCTCCTCTTCTGTGTTCCAACATCCCTCTCAAGGCACGTCCGTCTTTGTCCGGCAATTCCCTGCTTACTTGTCTGCCTCTCCCACTGAACTGTGAGCTCCTTGAAATAAGAACTGAGACAGTTTTGGTTTACTCCTCTCCCTAGGGGCTAGCACAGTCTCTGATTCAATAAATATTTGTTGAGTGAAAGTATCCAAGTGTAAGAATGAGAGAGTGTATAACAACGAGCTGAGAAAGCATTCCCTATTTTATGGAGGTAAATAAATCCTTCAATTACAATTTATTCCCATTTTCCCTTCTAGAGCTTGGAATACTTTCCTTCTGCTTAATGCTATTCCCTCTCCTGGAATCCCACTTATTACTTTTCTGCCTCCTGAACTCCAGCTTCAAGGTTGGAGTGAAGTTTTCAGATCCCATCTCCTTTGGGTGCCCACAGTTTGGTCCCTCTTATGGGAATTCGAAATGCTGACTGCGGTTTTCCCATTGGTTTTTGTCTCTTTCCTGCATTGAAGATGAGAGTCCAGACTGGGTCTAGTTTAGTCCTGTGTGCCTGGCACCTAGCCCAGGGACTATAGTAGCAGGAGTCTAGTAACCACTCAAGGAAAGAAAAGGTATGGGAAGGGGAAAATATGACTTGAGCTGGGTCATCAAGAAAATGTAGATGTTGAGTGACGGGAGGAGTGAGACTGGGTGAGGGAAAGCAGCCTGGGGGTGGGAGGGAAAGGTGGTACAAGGGAGGGGATGGTGGATGGGGCAGCCAGGCTCCAGAAGGGTGAAACCTAAGGAAAGGCAGGATGGAGAGGGGGCTTGGAAGGGACCTAGAGACATTACTTGGAGACACCAAAAGAGAGAGAGTATAGAGCCTTGAGAAGAACTCCAGCTTGGGCGGCAAGGAGATTTGAGGAAGCGGGCAATGGAGAGCAGCCCCCAACCCAACGTCCAGCCTAATTCAGGTTAGGGGATCTCTTGGGGAAGGCAAGGGTTTGGGGTGGGCAACACAGGAGACTGTAATTGTCTGTAACTTCCCATTCAGGTCTTCCAGACTGCCTCTGCCTGCAGCCAGTCCCCTTCATCCCCACAATCTTGCCGTTCTTCCTTCCTTCCTTTCCTTTCCCACTGAGGCTCCCTGAACTGACTGCAAAAGGAAAGGAGAGACTTGGAAGGGATGGGCCAGAGGAGGTCCTTGCCTTCCCACTGTCTCTCTCTAGCAGTGGGCTGTGTGTTGGTGAAGATGCTGCGTTTTGGGGGTGACCAAGAGCTCTGGAGGTGGCGAGGGGACCAGGGTGCGAAGGGACTCTGACCAGGTAGTGTGAAGCTGCGGTGGAGTTTTATCAGCTGTGAAGGACAGACGTGTCAGGGGAGCTGTCCGGGGACGGAGGGAGTACTATGAAGGGATAGTGTGGGCGTCTGAGGAGGCTATGGGGGCCTCTGTGAGTATTGTGGGGTGCAGTGAGAAGGAGCTCGCGGAGGGGGCTTAGGGAGGCACCCACCTCGTGTCCCGGCTCCGCGGATGCGTGGGGGCTCACAGCTGAGGTTTCCGGTGCCGCTGCCGTTGAGGAGGGGGCCCCCTGGGCGGCACAGCGAAGCCCCCGGCCCGGGTCCGGATCCCAACACGCTCCGGTTTGGCTTTAGCAGCTCCATGGCCACGGCTCAGCCGCCGCCTCCCAGCGCTCGCCCGGGCGAGCTCCCTCTGCGGCTCCACCTGCTCCCGCCGCGATTCCGGCGGAGGCTCGCGCCCCGCCTGGTTCCCGCCCCCAACCTTGGCCCCTGTCCCTCCGCTCCGCCTCTGCGCGCCCCGCCTCTGCTCGCCTCCCTCCCGAGCTCGGGACCGCCTCTGTCCAGCCAGGTGACTCTCCGCCTCCCTCTCCTTCTCCTGACTTACTCTCGCCCCTCCGCCCCTCGCCCGGGCGTTGTCCTGCCTACGCCCGGCGGGGCTGTCCGCACCCCACCCCCTAGATTTCTCCCTTCTTCTCTTAGAGATTTCCTTCCCGCCCACTCCCCTTCACCAGAGTCCCGATTCCGGGTAATTCTCGGGAGCGTGTGTATCTGTGTGTGTTGGCGAGATTTGGGGAGAGGTTAGTAGTGGATGGAGAGGTTGCGGGGAGGGAGGCTGGGTAAAAAGGCAGCGTTAAGAGGGACAGGGTAGGGCGCTGCTGCCGCGGGGCTTAGCATCTTTTCCTGGTGGGTCGGGGAACCAGGAGGTGGCCCCCAAGACCCTGGGATCACCGGCTGCGGCGCAGACGCCTTAGCCCGCGGGAAGCGCCACGGTACCCTACTATGCCGCAGTGGCCGCAGTGACCGTGACACCATCGCTGGTCTTTCCCTGCAGCTCTTCGCCTCGGGGTAGCCCCCGCATTTGTTTCCCGCACCCTCACCTCCTACATCAGGCCCAACACCCAGGCTTCCACGCAAAGCGCCCAAGGAACCCTCCCCAGCGGGCAGCGATGGGGATAGGGCAGCTTTCTCGCTCCGCTGGGAAAAGGGCTGCCTGGAGGAAGAGTGACCTGGGGAATCGAGGGGCGGCCGGGGTAGCGGCGAGAACACCCCGGGATAAACAGGAGTGAGGCGGGGTGAAGGTGGGGTATGGTTCGGTTCCCAGCCCAGCGCAGGCTTAACCAGGGAGGCGGCAGCTGGCTTTCTCTGTGGTCTCCAGGCAGCGCCCACCCTCACCCAACACACTGAAGCTCCCTGTTTGTTCTCAGCGCAGGTGTAGCAGCCGGTGTAGGGCGTCAGGTTCCCACGGTGGCGCGGGGTGGGGGTGGTGGGGGGTTGGGGGGCTGGAAGGGGAGCTCTAGGGTGCACCAGGAACGCAACTGAAGTGGGCATGCGCAGGACTGCGGTGGGTTCAGCTACTTGGGTAGGACTTGCCCACACTAATGTTTCCCCCACTAATGTTTCCCCCTGCTCCATGTCATTCTTCTTCATTCCGAAGAAACTTCAACTAACTGGGAATTTCATTCTCTGGCCTGACAGCGGTAGCTGTCAGAGGTGGGAGTTATCAGTCAAAAGAACATTAGACAGGGGGGGCGAGGTCTGAGTTTATGGGGAATTCAGAAACTTATCCAGTCAGTCTTTTGAAGAGGACCTGATCCAGCTAGCACTGAGTTTATAGAGGCTAAAGATATTGAAAGAGGATTTAAGCCTGAGGTCAGTGGGAATGTCATCAACCCAACCCCCCTTCTCCTGGCACCGCCTGCCTTCCCCACCATAGCAGCCCGATTTGCTGTTTGTTCAGCTCCAGCACAGGTGAGGGCTCAGATAACCTGCTGAACTTTTCCCATATTGGATGAGGGTAGGGTGTGGGGGCAGGGAAGCAAAGGCAATGTAGGGGTGTGGGGAGTGGAAATAGGAGAAATAGACTGGCATTCACTTATTCAGCAATGTGCCAGGTATAGGGCTGTACACTAGCCCCAATACAGTCAGTGCCAATTTCCCAAGCTAGTGGGGGAAAATGACAGGTAAACCTGTGATGACAACATATGGTCCTAAGCGCATCCATCAAGATGCATAGATCAGAAATTTACAGATCATCTTGAATGCCTTACTCCCTTATTCTCCTGCACCCCTATGGTGAAGGTTGTGATGAAAAGCCCAGATTTCTGCTCAAAAAAAAAAAAAAAAAAAAAAGAAGAATGTAGTCTCCTTTTTCACTGAGAATGCTGGTGGAAGATAGTCCTCAACTGTCAGTCCCTTCAAGAGTTGCCTGAGCTGAAGAAAGCTAGCTCATTCAAGGTCAGGTTCCTTTTCTGAGGCATCCTGCAGTCAATGACTGATCAGCAGAAAGATATAAAGATTCAGTTCCCTCACTCTGACAGAGGGCAACTTTGAAAGATGTTCCTAGCTCCTCCCTGGGGTTGACTGAGGTCTTTGTTGGGCTGCTCAGCGTCTCCCTATCCTGGATCCCATGTTCATCCTCTTTCTTACACAGGTGTTGACTCCGAGAGCACTCCTTAGTAAACATCCTCCACAGTAATCTCTGTCTTCGAGTCTGCTTCCTGGGGAACATAACAGCTTCTCTCCCATGTTCAATCAATCACGAAGTGCTGTTGATGTTAGCTACTGAGTGTTCCTTGAATCATTATGCTTGTATCTCCACTGACATTGCCCATTGTTTCTTGTACTATTCTCCCAGCTTCCTAAGTTGTCCACATTTTAATGGATGCCTCTTTATATCCACCCTCCACCTTGTAACCAGAGTGCTATGTTTGGGATACAAATCTGATTATGCCATTCTTTGGACTTCTGCTCTGGGAATAGAGAAGGCATTTTAATAGAGTCTATGAAGTCTTGGACTGCAAGGAGATCCAACTAGCCAGTCCTAAAGGAAATCAGTCCTCAATATTCATTGGAATGTCTGATGCTGAAGCTGAAACTCCAATAGTTTGGCCACCTGATGCGAAGTGACTCATTTGAAAAGAACTTGATGCTGGGAAAGATTGAAGGCGAGAGGAAAAGGGGATGATAGAGGATGAGATGGTTGGATGGCATCACTGACTCGATGGACATGAGGTTGAGTAAGTTCCCTTACATGAGATTGAGTAAAGGAGTTGGTGATGGACAGGGAAGCCTGGCATGCTGCAATCCATGGGATTGCAAAGAATTGGACACAACTGAGTAACTGAACTGAACTGAACTGATGAAGTCTGCATGGCCTGACTACTACTGACCTCTCTAACTACCTTGTTTCAAATCACTATGGTTCTTGTTCTCTCCACTGAAGACACTGGCCTTCTTTTAGTTCAGTTTTCGGATGTATGTCTTTTAGTTACATGTCCTCTGCACATTCTCTCTGGAAGGTTTCCTTCCTTATTCAATTAACTTCTACTCATCCTTCTGATCTCAGCTCAAGATCTCAGAATTTCTCAGGGGTGTTTCTCCCTGCTTTCCCTCTTGGGTAGGCAGGATTGCAAGATGATTCCTAATGACTGTCACTCTTGTATGATCTCCTTCCCTCAGGTGTGGGTGGAACTTGTGAATGTGACAAGACACTACTCCTAAGATTATGGTACCTGGGCAAAAGGGATTTTTGTGAATATAATTAACAATGCTAATCAGTTGACCTTATAATAGATTATCCAGTTTGTCCTTATCGTATGAGTCCCTTCAAAAGCCACAAGTTTTCTCTGGTTGGCAGCAGAAGAGGAAGTCAAAGAGATGTGAAGAACAAGATTTGATAGAGGGTAGCTGGCTTGAAAATGGAGGGGGCAATGAGGCAAGGAATGGGGGTGGCTGTAGTTAGCTTGAGGATGGAGGAGGGCATACAACAAGTGCCTAAGAATGGCTTCTAGTTGAGAGCCATCTCTGGCTGAGAGCCAACAAGAAAATAGGGACCACAGTCCTACAACCACAGAAATTGGATCCTGCTAATAACAAGAATGAACCTGAAAGCAGATTTTCCCCCAGAGCCTCCAGAAGAGAACTGAGTCTGAATGACACTCTGAGTTCTGCCTGGTGATAACCACTCTGAGCAAAGAACCCAGCTATACTGTCTGTGAGCTAATAAATGCATGTTTTTAGGCCACCAATTTCATGATAATTTGTTACTGTAGCCTTAGAAAGTAACACATCTCTCATCTCAGGAGGTAGCAAATGCAGACTATTGCAAGCCATGCAAGGAAGAAGTGAGGACACTGGAAATTTGTTAAGATTTAGAAAACCTTGGAAAGATTGCAGTAGCAACTGGTGTGGAGAGTCACTTTAGGAGTGGGATCAGTTGGGAATCCATGACAGTAATTCAGGGAAGAATTGACAGTAGTTTGAACTAAAGTCATGGAAGTAGTGGAGAAGATGGATCTGAGAGATACTTGGAAGGAAGAGGGACAGAATTTATTTATTTATTAAATGTTTATTTATTTATTTGGTTGTATCCTTGGGTCTTTGTGGCATCACACGGGATCTTTCACTGTGGCACAGGGACCCTCCAGCTGTGGCAGGGAGGCTCAGTATTTGCTGTGTGCCTGCTTAGTTGCCTCTTGGCATGTAGAATTTCAGTTCCCTGATCAGGGATCGAAGCCATGTCTCCTGCCTTGCAAGGCTGAATGAGAGACAGAATTTAGAGGCCATTTGTTTGTGGAAAGTGACAGAGAAGGATGAAATTTAAAATGAATAATATTTCTGGTGAAATTTTGATAATCACCTACTGTTCCAAGCATATTGCCTTTTATCCTCACAAAAAACTACAAATTTGAGCACAATATAATCAATTATCATTTTAAATGGAAAAACTGGCTCAGAGAGAGTTTGAGTAACTTACCCAAAGTCACAAAGCTACTAGGTGAAAAAAAGCCACAATTCAAAGCCAGGGAGTTGGGAAATCAGAATTCAGGTGCTCCTAGTATGCTGCTTCCCAGAATGAGTAGAAATTTTACTGTTTCTCTGGTCACCTTCTTCTTCTCATTTTGTAATTTTTAAAAAAATTTTCTTGATTAATAAATTCTCTTATTGCATCTCTAACTCTGGTGAGTGCCTGTACACACACACACACACACACACACACCAACTTTTACTCACAACAAATAACACAGCCCTTGACTTCATAGAGAAAGTAATAGCTATCGGACAGAAGTTCCCACCAGGGAATCTGGTCCACTTTGGACAAGTATAGTTTCAGATGCCTATTAGACATATAAGTAGGAATTCCAGTAGAAAGCTGAATATACAGGTTGTAGGAATTAATGCAAACCATAGAATTAACGAGAGTATGTTGAATAAGGAGAAATGAGGACCAGATGAGAAGTCTAGAAAATACCATTATTTAAAGGCTGGATAGAGAAAGACCAACCTGCAAAACAGCCCAAGAAGGAGCATTTGGAGGGGTGAGGGGAGAACAAGGGGAGAAAGACATCATATAAGCAAAAAGAGACACATTGAATGTATTCAAATGCTGCTTCTGGACCAAGATAACGAGGATGAGAAATGTACTCAGAATTCAGGGACCTGGAGAGCCTTGGCCACAGAAAGAGCCATTTTGGTGAGGTCCTAGAGCTTCCCCAATAGCTCAGTTTATATAGAATCTGCCTGCACTGCAGGAGACCCTGGTTCGATTCCTGGGCTGGGAAGATCCCCTGGAGAAGGGATAGGTTAACCACTCCAGTATTCCTGGGCTTCCCTTGTGGCTCAGTTGCTAAAGAATCTGCCTGCGATGTGGGAGACCTGGGCTCAATCCCTGGGTTGGGAAGATCCCCTGGAAAAGGGAAAGGCTACCCTCTCCAGTATTCTGGCCATGGGGCCACAAAGAGTGAGGACATGACTGAGCGACTTTCACTTTTCACTAGAGACAGAAGATGGATCCGATGTACTGAACATTGAATGCGATGGAAGGAAGGAGAGCAGGCGACTTGAGACAAGCCTTTTTGAATAGTAGTGATTAAGGAAAAGAAAAAGGGTAGTAACTGGAGGGGGATGTGGAATTAAAGACTTTTAAGATGGAAGAACTAGAACGTTTTTAGTGGCAGATCGAATTACTGCAATGTGTAGAAAAGACTGAAGGAGGGAAAGACAGACAGAAACCAAGAGGCAAGAGAAACAGAGACACTAACGCAAGTTTCTTGAGAAAAGGCAGCAAAGTATGGAACCCAGTGTACGTGTGGAGGGTCCTACCTTTTGATGTGAGTAGAGACTCAATTTTAAAAAGCTAGTAGAAAAGAATAATTTTAGAAGAAAGTGTCATGGCAACCAGATTATAAGTATATAAATGAAAATGTCATGGCAACCACATTATGTTTCCTAGATTTTTGTAGTTAAGTGTGGCTTTTTTGACTACATTCCTGACAGCGGTTGTGGATGGAAGCCTTAAGTACAGCTTCCAGATCAAGTTCTTCAAGGAA